AAAACACCAAACCACCCCTTAATTAATTTCTACATCAATTAAATAAAGATAAAAGACCATTTTGCCCCTAAGCAAAAATATAAAAATAAAGAAATAACATAACATTTATGTTCTAACAAAAATATACACTCAAGAACACTAATTTCCAAACAAAAACTTAAAGTCTCAAAACTATTTTATTTTTAAAACCCTTATTTTCACAGATTTTACAATTCATATGTCAAGTCAGCATTGTGTCACATCATAGTAGTAATGTCATGTGTAATGTGTTAGTATCACGTGTCACTATCTTATATTCAATCTAGTCTTTATTTGTTATTTTAATTCATCACGTGTCACTATTTTTCTATTGAGACTAAATTTAATTTTTATATAAATATTATATTCATACTTTTATTAAAATTTATATTTTTATTAAATATTTCTAAAATTATTTTTAAATTAACTCTAACTATATTATTTTAATATAATTATTATATTTATGCTTTTGATTTTTGATACACGTNTTTTATTTTTAAAACCCTTATTTTCACAGATTTTACAATTCATATGTCAAGTCAGCATTGTGTCACATCATAGTAGTAATGTCATGTGTAATGTGTTAGTATCACGTGTCACTATCTTATATTCAATCTAGTCTTTATTTGTTATTTTAATTCATCACGTGTTACTATTTTTCTATTGAGACTAAATTTAATTTTTATATAAATATTATATTCATACTTTTATTAAAATTTATATTTTTATTAAATATTTCTAAAATTATTTTTAAATTAACTCTAACTATATTATTTTAATATAATTATTATATTTATGCTTTTGATTTTTGATACACGTAAGAAAGAATAGGGTTAAATGAAATTCAGAATTCTTTTTTGCATAACATTTTGTATTATAACATTTTTAAATATTCCTAAATATTTAATGTATTTTGATATTGATTTAGAAAATATTAACACGTCGTCCAAATATAGACTACGACGAATTTTGAGTAGGAATTTAAAATATTGTTCATTATATTTGAAATTCTAAGGGATATTTTTTAATTTCATTGACACAGTGTTCCATTCATAATGTTCAAACATAACTATAAACATATATTTTTTTTGGCTTGATTTGATAATATCCAAACTTCAAATTAAATTTTAAAAACATAAAAATTTTCTGTAATCTATTAATCACATTTTATATTGTAAGGGATATGTGATCTATACATTATTTAGAGGTTTATAATTAATTACTGTTTGAGCTAAGAGTTTAGAAAATCCTTTTAAGTACGAGAATTTAATGTTAGTTATTTGTTTATTATGGTGTTTTTTTCTTTATTTACACAGATTTTTTTCTTAGGATCACAATCAAACTTTCATAATTTAAGATTTTTCATCCTTAATTTACTTTTTATCTTTTCAATGTAGTGATTTCGTTATCTTTTACATTGATTCTAATCTTAATAAATATTTATTAGTGAATTTTCAATTTTCATTTTCATGAAGCAAGAAACAATATTATAAAGTTTGGAGTTTTCTTTTGTTATTGGTCTTAGATTCAAGGGATTGACAAAGAAGATCATTTAGGTCGATAAAATTCTTATTAGTATAAAAATATCCGTTTTGAAGAAGAGCGAAGAAACATTTATTAGCACACAACCTCACAATTTAATGTTTGATGAGTAGAGATTATCTTACAAATTGGTCAAATACACAACTTTCCTTATTATAAAACCTTAAATTTTTACAAGAAAACAAAAACATGTAATGTCATGTCTTTTATTGGGCTAGGAGTTACTTGTCTCTCTATACATGTCATGTGTCTTTGAAGTATTCATATTTTGGATGGCTATCTCATTCATCTATTTATCAACCCATCCCTTCCTCTTTTCTACTTTCTTAATTTTATCCATTATTTCATTTCTTCTTCCATCATTAATCTACTACACTTGCCTTTATTCATTCTTACTTTTAGCCTTCATTCTTCATTCCTTTTCTTTTTCTTGCCTTTTCTTGTAACTATCTATTTATATTATATTTCCTTTATTTATTTTCATAGCTTTAAGATCCGTTTTGTTGGATAAAGCTAATCAAATTAATAATTCTCAAAATAGTTAGATTGTACCAAAATTTCCGAGTCTTTGTTTATTTTTTCTTTCTTTTAGTTAAATATCATTTTGTGTTAAGTTGATTCAATTTAATTCTTTTCATTCAATTTATATAGTGTCACATATCAATTTATAATATTTTTTTAAGGTTTTTTTTCATGTATCAGGTCATGTCGTGTCGCGTCAGAGCTGTGTCCTGTTATGTGTGAATGTATATATTAACATGAGCACCATTTGATCATGTCACTGATTGTATCTTCAATTCCTATATTTAAAACTTTAATTCGACTGAGTTTTAATTTTTTTGAAATGGAGTAATGTTGTTTATGTACAAAATGGAATCAAAATTAGTTATTAAATTTAATTATAACTTTTATATATATATATATATATATATATATATATATATATATATATATATATATATATATATATATATATGAGTCACCAAAATAAGACTCAACTACTTTTAGAAACACTTATTCACACACAAAAAGTAGTATATGTACACAAATTAATGATCTAATCACTCTTTAATGATCCTAATCGAACGTGAATTATTAACACTTTGTTCACTTGAATGGATTCAGAAAAAGTGATTGAATGAACTTGAGAGAATTTGAGGATAATATTTTGTTGTTTATTTGAGTGAATTTGGAGGTAAGTGAGAATGGATTTTGGAAGTAAATTTTTTAATTTGTCACGTCAATCAAATCCTACACTAATTCTCACAAACTATACTTCCAAATCCACTCAAATAAACAACAAAAAAATTACCTTTAAATTTTCTCAAATGCATTCAATCACTCTCTTCCAAATTTATTCAAGTGAACAAAGCCTAAATGTTCCTTGCAAGCTCAAAACACTCCATATGCAACAAATTTCTCAAAAGACTAGAAAAATGACAAATAATGAACTTACTCCATTTAAAAAAACTGATTGGATATAATTATAACATTTTAAGACTCTTATGACATATTCCGATCATCAAACAACCATATAGAATCATGAAAATTTTAGAAAGAAATCAAATGAAGAAAAAGAAAATAAATTTGAGAGAGATAATAATCTTTATAAAATAAAATTTGATTAACAAATAATTTTATTCATGAGTTTGAATTTATTAATAAAATAATTAACCTAATTTTTTAAGACCACTTTTAGTTTGTAATTATTTTCTATATTTGCTATTATTTTAAATCTTGAATTACCATGTTATACACTATTACAATAGCAATAACATAAATATAAAACTCTTCTCATAAATTCTTATCATAAACTCACGTTTGGTCTATATCTAGCTGAAGAAATAAAGAAAATAACATAAAAATTAATAAATAATTTTATAGAAAAAGTATACAATTTTTTTTAACTCTACCTTCCACTCTTTTTTTTTTCTTTAAATTCATTTTTTCTACTTCCTTAAATTTATATTGTAATCTAAACAAAAACAAGAATATAGAAAACAAACTATTATATACCATATTTATATTTATATCTATATTGCCTTAACAACTTTCTTATCTATAGACTAATGTTTTGAATTGTAATATAATATTGTTTAAACTAGACGTAGAAGAGAGCATGTCTAACTGTCACAACCACCAATATTGCTTTGTTCCAGTTACCATGTCACGGAGTCTTTAATGAACTCACTATATGGCTTTCCTAAACTCTTCAAATATCACCCTTCACACACAGCCTTTAGTTAGGACAAGAAATAATAAGAAAAAGTAAAAATTAGAAAAAAGAAAAGGAAAAGAAATTGATAGTAAATTAATTAGTCTGTGAAAAATTGTTGGAAGTCTCACCTTGATTAGATATAATATCAATTTATAGTATACAAGTAAATATAAATTTTATCTTTCAAAATAGTTTTGTGGGATTGAATTAACATATTACACCTCTCAAAGAAAATTAACGTGCAAAAAGAGGAAAATAATTGTTTCTTATTTCTACTTTTGTATGTTCCACATCCACAATGTAAGGCTTACCACTTTTAAAATTGAGATTCATGGTAAAAGCTAGACTGAAAAGTTATGGTGAATGGTTATACTTTTGCTTTCCGTCTAATTTATGCATATTAATCTAATTTAATTTATTTATTGTAATGTATAATTGAAAAGGAATAAAAAATAGTTTAACTATTTTGTTAGGCTAAAAAGTTTTTGAATTTGCATATACTTTTGTCTAACTGAATATTGTGAAACCCCTTTTGTTTTCCTAAAAACAAAAACAGCACCTTTTAGATTTCTCTCTAAAATTTCAATCTTCTCTTTCTTTATATCTCACTCATACCTCCTCCATTCTTATCTTAGGACCTATATATAGTTGAAATCACCGCAGAAAATTTTTCCAATAAAAAACTGAATACAGTAAGTTTCTTTGCTATCCTCTTTCTAGAATCGAATCTGTGTTTTATATTTTCTGGACTTTTTCTAAAATGCATGTTGTTCCTTACTGTTAGGATGGAATCCTACGTGTTGGTGAGTCAAACCATGCCCCAAATCATTGATGTGATATGTAATTAGTGAAAGTTGTAAAGAAGTGTAGAAGAGCTCAAGAGTAGCGTTTGAGGTGGGGCAAGCTAAATCACTAGTTTTTAAATGTTTGATATTTTAGTGGACTATTGAACTGGGGTATATGGTCTTCAATTTTATGAAATTAATATGCTTTAGGGTATTACTGTGTTGATTTTGGCTGAATTGATTTATTTACCACAAATTTGATGTGTTTGGAACATATATGATGCTTAAAATTGATTTTTTTGTCATCTGGTACTATCAAATTGTATAAATTTTGGCTATGCATCTTGCAATCTCCTGTCGAATTCATCAGGCTTTGAATCAGCAGCAGAGAATAATAAATTGCTGCTTTCTATGTTCAACAAAAAAATATATGCTAATGTGACAATTTTCCAATAAAGAATGGCAAAATTTTAATTCGAAATAAATATAACACATAATATGAATAACCTCCAGAGGAGGGGTCGACCATAACCCAGTTGCTTTCCAATGTCTGAACTTTTATTGGAAGCTTGAACAGACAACGGTCGTCTACAATAGCCTACCAAAACTTAATATTTCCTTCTTTAAGTTCACCCCATAAGGTGAACCATATGTCACCAGTTGTTCAACTGTTTCTGGATTTTAGAACTGTGAGATGACCTACCACCTTTATCTTTATAGGAATTTCTGGCTCCAGCAGTCTTCTGCCCCTTGCGAGCTGATGCTATGGCGCGTCGTCTTTGCTTATTCAAGCTCTTAACAAGTTCAGCTTCATTTTCCATTGCTTCTTCATTGTTTTCCTCCTGTGAATCAAAATTACCACCATTGAGGCTTTCATGCAAAGGCCGCATAGCAAGCTTTCTATATAAACTAGAATAATATAAAACAAGGAAGGAGACAATACAAGGAAATAATGTTGAACATTACGTCACTAGCAAATTTACAATAATAAAATGAGCCTTTGGTTGAGAAAAATCCAGATTAGAATACCACACAAGTAACATCAAGAGAAGAGAAGAAATGCACTAGAAGTCTAGAAGAGGATATGCATAATCCACGCTATTTCCCAAAATATTCATCAGGGATCAACGTTTAAAACTAGAAATTCTTTGAATTGAATATTATGAAGAGGAAAAGAAATCAGTACAAACATAGAATTGAGATAACCACCGATAAAGAGAATAAAGCATTGCTTACATTATCACTTGCATCTTCCTTTTCAGATCCACTGCTTTCACGTGCTTCACAACTCTCCTCTCTCCCCTGACTCTCGTATCCCTCGTTCTGGTTAAAACAAAAACAATTCTTCAATCAGCATGCATAATTTAACTCGCTCAACTAATGAACTAAGCTGAAAAAACCATGGCAGAGTATGTATGCCGTTAGTCAATGGACAAACTAAAAACCAAACCAAATTTTGGATATTCAAATTTACATATCACAGTTCACTTATTATATCACAGAAGATACTATATTTAATATTTCGAACAATGAAAAATTTCAAGCTCAAGCATCTCAAGCACAGAAAGAAACTTTGGCATTGTTAGTAAGCTCTTTAGTACGAATCCTGCTAAACAAATATCAATAATCTTCCATCAGCATAAATTATATATGTTCGTCTTCACCTCTATAGCTATATTATGGTTTTTAATTGCAATGAGTTATCAGCTATCTATTTGCTCATTATCAAGAAAACATCTCAGCTCTTAGTTGCTATGTTGTTACTTTTAGTGTTCTTTGTATTAAGTCCATTCTTTATTGGGATACAACTTTCTCAATTCCCCTCAATTCATAGCTCAATTTCTCACCATAAATCTCCCCTACAGGTTTGTATCCCTTTTATGACATTACCTGTTCCAACAAGTCTGAAGAATCACCGTCAATAGTGTCTGCTCCATTCAGATCTTCTACTACATCAACCTCTTCAGAATCTGAATTTGCATCACTCTCTGCCTCGACTTCAATGAACTGCACATATAGATATTTGAATACCTTTGAGGCTGAACCAAATACAAAAATGAAAGCTTACCAATCTACGCACTATAACCAAAAATAGGCAATTTTAATCCCCATGTATGATAACAAAATCATGCTTAACAGACGCTGGTTGTTAGCAGCTAAGCCAAAATACGTGAAAAATATAAAATGCAAAGTTATGTTGCCTTTCTAAAAGTAATCTCCATCTTCTTCCCCCTCTCACAAAGAACTAGAAAACCACTATACCCTTTGAATATCTTCTTCGTCCTTTCTAGTAAAGCCACTGGCAGCAAGTTCCCTATCTAGAAAACCAGCACTTCTTTCTATTGCAGAAAAACAGGGTTTTCCAACTTCATCTGTCCCCTCATCTGAACCATCAATATCATCTAAGCTTTCTTCAAAAGAAAGATTAAACCTGAAACAAAGAATAGGGAACAATATGAAGATAACTGATTTAGCAACCAAATACTAGATATAAAAACCTTTCAACAAGTTCAGAAACCAAAGATATATCAGCCGTGCAGTAAAATAGGACATGAAAACGAAATATGTATAAGATACCATAAAACAAATGAAAAATATTCAAATAAATTATACTAAAAAATACAGGAAAAAGAAATCACATAATATATTTTCACGACAGTATAGTTCATAGTAAAAGCTACAGGTTGGATATAGGTTATATATAGACGTAAGTTAGACAGAAAAAATCCAACAGCATAAATGCAAAACAAATTCCAACATGAAGGACATGACCTTCGAGGAATATCTTTATTTGATGAAAGGATGAGAGAATGAAAGACAAAAGGATAGAAACTATCCGGTGTTTGGTTAAGAAAGAGAGGGAAGAGAGAAATTTTTGAAATATAAATTTGAGGAAGAGCAGAAAGAAAGTAAAGTTCAAATTTTTATTTTTAGAAATCAGCTGCTCTTCTCATTTTCCTTTCACTTTCTCTCCAACCAAACAGGAAAAAGCATCATAGTTTGTGTTTTTTCCTCTTTATTTATTTTCTCTAACTTTCATCCCTTCCAAACATAGTGTAAGAATCAAGAGTCCAAATCCTCTGACCATGTCCTTGATAATTTGTACTAAATGCACTTTCTAACAAGTTATGCTAACTTGTAATGACAGACATCCGTAATTACTTGCTACTTAACTGAAGTTAAGCCTGCAGTTTGGGCAATTGATATGAGAATATCTTTTCTACATTTATATTTTCTTCTAACACCATTTTAGGGCTTGAAAAGACCCATTTTATGATCTCATATCTACAATGATAGAATTATGATACAAAGAGAAGAGAGAAGATCAAATATCAGAAGTCTGAACTAGAAACCTGGGTACAAAACTAGGTATAACCCATAGGTACAGAAGGTAGTGATTTCCAACACAACTACTTCCTACTTAGATTTAATACTTATTATAACAATTCATCTTATGATCTCATATCTATAATGATAGAATTATGATACAGTGAGAAGAGGGAAGATCAAATATCAGAAGTCTGAACTAGAGACCTGGGTACAAAACTAGGTATAACCCATAGGTACAGCAGGTAGTGGTTTCCAATATAACTACTTCCTACTTGGATTTAATACTTATTATAACAATTTTAAATTATATAAGACACCAAAATAGTAAAAATAATATGCAAAAGTGAAACTATTGTTGAGAAATACATTATTCCAAAATAACCACCTACCTTTTCCTGAAAAACTTAAAGATGCATTCAACATCACGGTCAAAGTACCTGAAACAAGGATAAATAATATATAGTAAGCAAGAATAAAATATACTCTGTTTTTCCCTTAATATGACAGCAATTTTTTACTATTTGAAAATTTTCAAAATTTTATTCACAATGAATACTGATTTTAAAATTAATATCCCCACACAACTTTCAAATGATAGAAAAAATCTAAGATAAATCTATAAGATTATACCAAAAAAAAAATTAGAAGTAGAAAAGTTCTATTACCATATTCTAATTCATAAATTGAAAAAAATGAAAAAAGAAATCTAAAAATCATATTAATAAGGTTTAACCTGTTGAAAAAATACTATAGATTTAAAGACATGTATTTGCATAAATGATTCAATACATGAATAAATTACAAAAAAAAGAGTCTTTCAGGGACGAAGCAGGTTGAACTATAGGAAAGAAATGTTTTATTTGAACACTGTATATTAGCCAATTAAATTCTTATTAAGTGTGAGTAGAATGCGAAATGACCCCTAAATTTTGTAAACTACATTACCAAATAACAAAACAAAAATTAGCAAAGTGACAAGATAGCTAGGAACTGTTATAACAAGTCAAAAGAAAATTATGAGAAAGACATACAAGCAGACACTTACATCTGTGCATTACGGTGTGACACGGATACCATTTGTGGAAAGTCAATCATGGTAATTTTTTCATCATCGCCAATCTACAATAAATGGAACTCCAAGTGTAAACTAGATTTGAAAACCAACCGTCTTACATTTAATGAAATAAAAATGAGAATCCTTTTTGGTCCTTATGCAGACAAGTCAAAGCATACCATGATATTGAATTCATTGAAATCACAATGAATAAGGCCATGTTCAGCCAACCGAACAACTAGACCAATAATTGTCTCAAAAACTGTCTCTGGATTCTGTAACTGCTTCACCTGTACACTGCATTTGAAAAAACAAATACACAAAGCAAGCAATTGTTAACCAAAAACCAGAAAAAAGCGTGAAAGAAAGACTAGAAACAAGAAAACCAGCTAAATAAAAACAAACGAAAGAAAAAATCTTTAAAAGTAGCACAAGTAATGAAGGACACCTACAGAGGATAACCCTGAACAAGTGACATGACTACACAATGTCTATTGTGTTCTACAGCATTTGGAACAGGAAAGCCATGGGTCTCTAAAGCCTGCTCAAGCAAACCATGCGTAAGTGACTAGAGAATCAAACAAAAAATAAAATAATTCATGTATACTGCAACTTGATAGACAGAGGGAGGAAGGTAAAACCTTCATAAAAGCAAATTCTTTAAGGGCAGCAAGGCGAGACAAATAGAGCCAATTATAACTACTTCGATGTCTCAAGTAGTCACGCTTAGATTTGACAGCTCTAAAAGAGACTCTACCAAGTCTATGCAACTTCATGGCCAAAACAGTTCCATCTTCGCGGGCAACCTCAAATATATCTAGCAGAGCACAAATGCCCGTAATTAGCAAAAATGAATGAAATGTGATTGAATGAAGAGCACCAAATTAAAAGAATATTAACTAAAATACCAGATTCCTTTCCAACACCAATCTGGCGACCAACAGCAACAAACACTCCTTTGTTCACCATAGTTTTAATGGCAAGAAAATCATAGCCAAGATAGGTAAGGCGGAATCCATCATCTAAAATCAATTATGCTCACAAATTAGAAGGTCAATGTAACATGTAGCATGCAAAATAAAACAGTGAAGCCAAAGCTAATAACAACAATTGGACACGTGTCATTCTGGAGTAGTGTGCAAAAGTTCACAAATCCACAAACGAAATTAATATTTGAAGGACAATGAGGGATAAAGAAAAAGGAGATGAATTTGCAGGTTCGTTCCTAGTTCTGAATATTCTCTTCCTCTGTTAATCTGTTTGTCTTCTCTCAAAATTCTTACAAATTCTTACCAAAGGTTTGTGGAATATGAATCATGACACAGATGGAGGAATGGAATGATGTTTCTTATTTCCAGTTATTATGCTGCAGAATTGGATATTTACCAATTGTTTTTGTATGGACTTCATACTGTTATTTGTATGTATTTACCAATTGTGACCCAGTATGAACTTAATACTGTTATTCACAATCATTAGCTATTCTAAACAATAATTTTTCTGCTGCTACAGCCATTCAAAAGAAATTCAATATACCTAGACTAATATGATCAGATTGTTCTTTTTTAAGGCAAATAATAATAGAGATTAGAAGGAACAAACATTTAGAAGAGTCATGATGCAACAACTTGTGCTTGAGAAGATTCTTCAAAACCTTGTACGTGCCTCCATGCCTACAAACATTAACATCAAACTTAGTAACAAAAATGAAAATAAAACATTGTAATGGGAGTGAATGCAGAGGAATATTGAGAGGTACTTGAGACGTGCAATTCGGTCTATGAGTTCCGTGGGCACAATTTCATGCTGCAGCCAAGGGAGAATTTCGTTAATTTGACCACAAATATTCAAAACAAATGATAATTAAATGGGAACTAAAAGCATTGAAATGGTGTAAGAGGTGAAGAGAGAGAAACGCACATTCCTCATGCCCAATTCAACAGAGGTGAGAACCCTAAAATCATCTTTGGATAGATATCTTAACACATCCACATCGAGCTTCATTCTGAATCGAGGTTAGTGCATGCGTTCAGAGGTGGCTTGCACAGAGCTGATGATAGGAGGGTTTGCTCGTGGATGAGGTGCCTCACTGAAGGGTGCCTGCAGCAGTTAGGTTAGGCTTCAATGTGAGCACAACAATTGGAAGGGACACTTTTACTTTAGAAATTTACATTTTAGAGTATGTGTTTCCCAGAATAGAAAAAAGGAGTCAGAGATTAGTACTGGTACATAAAGATGTACTTCAATCGGAATCGGCCTTGCACATTTCTTTGGAGTGTTTCTTTCTACATCACACAAATTTCTTCACTACTTCCTATTCATTTCAGAAAGTCCCTGTGACTAATAGAAGGTGGTAAAAGAAATTTGTGGGGGTTGGGTTCAAATGCATGGTTTGAGTTCTTTGGGAAGACGACGTACCCTTAACTAAGGGCGGCAAAAAGAGCCACCCTGGCCTCTTTTGGTGCCCCTGCAACTGGCCTGCCACAGTCAAACAAACTGTAATTCATGAGCCATCCAGCCACAAGGCGGGCTGGCCCGCCATTTCTTCAGTTTTTTCTTTTCAGGATTTTTCTTAGGTTTTGGGTCTAAGTTTATTTGTTTGCAGTCACGATATCACTTTTTGGACAGTAAAAAGGCAAGGGACACTGATAAAATTAAATAAAACTTTATTATTCCAACCAAACAAGGTTCAACACCTAACAAAATAAGGGCAATATTAATGTACTCCAACAAGAAGAATGCAATTGGATTCCTAAATGAAATAGTATCAAATAACATCAGGCCAAATGTCCATCCCTATAATATATTCATTGATGCACTAGGTAAAGAAGAAGGGAGAAAGAAGCCAAAAATGTGTGTGATGATGAAAGATGGTGTAAAACCTGATATTGTTAGTTTTAAGACTTTAATGGATGGGTATTACATAGTTAATAAGATGAAGAGTTAATAGGATGAAGACGACCAAAGAGGAATTCAATCCTATGACCCAGATGGGGTAAATCCAATGTATGTAAATAGCATGCCGGATGCGTTTTGATTGTTAAAACACTTTTGTCTCCTCTGAAATTACATTTTTACAGTGGAATTAATCGATGAATTTGAGAAAGGAAAAGCGAACCTAGAGTGAAAGATCCTTGTCCGCAATCAAGGGCTAGACAACGTCGTTCTGATTTTATTGGCTACGAAATGTGATTGGTTCCGTCCGTCAGTGGCAAGGCGACGCGCAAGATTCTTTGGCTCCGTTGGCAGTGTGTCGGTGGCGAGACCGGAAGGAAGGGGGAAGGTTGTGGAGTGGACCGGCGGCGATGCAAGATCGAGTGAACCAAACCCTAATTTTTTCCCAAAATCCAATTGAGTGGTCGGTACAAGGGTTTAGGGTTCAGACGATTCAGGGACAGAAGCAGTAGCAAAAGGTGATGCTGGTATACGCATGGGGTTCTCGTTAAGGAGTAGCGTTTGAGAAAAAAAAAATCACTGCAAGCACGGTTTCCACCTTTATTTCGTTAAGGACCCGATATTCCAACAACAGATTTTTAACACTCTTTTGACAACGCCACGTGTCGTCACCTCATTGGTTCGTTTTAAATTTTTTTTTTTTAAAAATCTATGACCGTAACCCTTATTTTGAGTGAAAATCCTAAAATACCCCTACTGAGCCAATAGCAAGCTGCCACGTGCACGTTGTCAAAACTGTGTTAAAAAAGTGTTGTTGGAATAACATTTTCCTTTCGTTAAATATCACACTTAAGATCAAGTTTACTTATACGACACTTTCCGGCTTTTTTTTTATTTTTATAAAGTAGCGTACTTTCTTTAGAAATTTATAAAAGTGGGTAATTTTAAAAAATATTATTGATATGGGTAAATCATGTTAAAGTGACATGATTTTATTACTGTGTAAAAGTCATGATTTTAGTTTAAATTAAAACAATTTTAAAATTGAAATATTTACTTCAACATATTTTAAGTAGGATTGAGAAAGTGAATGGGTCAAACGGGTCGTGTGGGTATATTAAAAAAAACATGAAGTGGACTGATATTTTGAACTCGTTGGTCTATTGAAGTCGGATTTGCATGTAGTGAGCGTTGCTTCCTTCTCCACCACCACGATTCTTGTATTTCTTTAAATTCTTTTATTTTTAAAACTATTTTTAGGTTAAGGTTGAAACTTTATTATTTTTATCACAAATTTTTAATTTATTTTTTAAACTCTAATCTTTCTTCATTCATATCTCCTGAACGCAGCAGCTACATCTCTATTTCATGTCAACTCAATTTTCTTCTATCTAGTTGTATCCACATCAAATATGGTATTTTAATTATCTTTTGTTGATGCAGTACATAAAACTATCATGTATTCGATTATACCTAATAATTATTATTGAATTTTAGTTTAATCTTTTAAATTTGAATGATGAAAATAAAATTAATAATAAAAACCTATTAATCATTTAAGAATAATTTAAAATTTATGTTCACATATTTCTATTTTTTTATTTAGACCTATAAAATTGAATTTATTTTGTACGAGATTAAATTTTTAGAATTTATATTTTGTTGTAATTCATTTAAATTTAATTTCTAAAAAAGTTAAATTTATTTGCACTAATATTTCATATAATTTGATTTGAATTATACTTAAGTTTTTTTAATCTAATATAAGTTTATATTTATTTTTTTTAAATTAAAAAATATAAAATATATATGTGGATATCCAGTGATATAAAAAAATATACTACAATATTTTTTCAGATACTCAACCGATAACATGGTGATTAACGGATCTGTCAAATTAGGTACAACTAGGTAGAAGAAGATTGAGTAGACATGGGGTGAGGAATCAAATTAGGTACAAGTAGGTAGAAGAAGATTGAGTTGACATGAAGTGGGGTGGAGCGGATCAAAGGAATATGAGTAAGGTAAAATTAGGGTTTGAAAAATAAATTAAAAATTCATGATAAAAATAATTTGTAAATTGAGTGGAATGGCCATAATGTTGAAGGAAAAATACTTAATCATAAATCAAGAAAGGGGTGTCATCATGCAAGAAAAGTCATAATTTATAAATTTTTGGAGGATATTCAAAATGACATCAATATTTACCATGCATTTCAAAGGTCAATCCGGATAAATTTTCCTGTTACAAAAAGAACTTTTTGTACATGAATTCAAAGAAAGGTTTTTTTATTTTTTTTATTCTTAAATCACAAACATCAAAAGTTTCGACTTTTATTTGTTAGGCATATGCATTGGTATCATCCCTATATAGAGCAAAAATACATTCATTGTGGAGTCAGAATCTAAAAGTAGAAAATATAGTGTAGCAAAAATGTGGACCAAACCACAACCCGCGGGAGTAAACATATACGGGATGGGTCATAACATTTAACTCGCTTTTTAAAAGTGTGACGGGACAATCTGACCACATTATATAGGCTAAGTGCGTGACAGACTTAAACAGACTCAAACGATTCACATTGTCATCCCTAATTTTAAGCTAAAGTCGTACGCCCTAACAAAATTTCTTCGTAATCAAATCACGTCAAGATACATGATTTACCTATATTCATAATATTTTTTAAATGCCTAATTTGGTAAATTCACAGAAAAGACTCTAGTTAAGTAAAAAGACTACACTTTTATATGTAACTATTAATTTGAGTGATGACATCAAATTATTTGGTTTTTGAGAAAAAGTTGAAAATAATAAACATC